ATCGCCGTGTCATAGACCGACGTCATGTTCAAACCACCACCAGCAGCACCAGTTGCAAGAGACAGAGCAGCAGCCCCAGCTCCACCAGTAGTAAGTGCGCCACTGGTTAGGACTCCACCAGTCAATGATCCGCTGAAGTGGTGAATCTATCAAATCTGGTTAAATCCGTCTAAGGATTCCACTTTCTTTTAGAATTTTCACTAGATTCTACAACACCCTCGAATTTTTTTGACGAGGGTTTTCGTGAGGGCTTGTCAGGCTTTTCCCTCAACCCTCATTTCTTCGTTTGTTTTTTAGTTTCGTGTTTCCAGACGATTTCTCCAAAAAGTTCCATGAAACGGAGGAATTTTTAAGAAATTGAGACATATTTTTAGACGAATGGCAATTTGGATGAATTGAAGTAAACAGAACAGTAATAGGTCTGTTCAAGTGTTCTATTTTTTAACTATTCTGAACGAAATTAAGTAATATTCAATTATTTTGTTTGTTTATAGAAGAAATTGTGTTGATTCGTTTGTGATTTGTTTGGGTAAGTGGGGAAACTCCAGTAATTTCAATGTGATATTGAGTGTTTTCCCAGATGGGACTAGAAATTGCCCATTTTTTTGGCCAAATCAGTTATCTCTCAGCTGTTTGCTTGGTCTCTGCATTGTGATTTTATATGAACAAACATTTATATGAACATTTTTTCGATCATCCACCTTTTGTCTGTTTATTCGCATAAAAATGGCAAAGCAGCAAAATTTAGACGATCGCTTTTTGATGTATTTTTAAGAGATCCAAATTTTTTTACGGATTTATCTCAGATTCGCGATTAGATTTGAATGCTCGCTACTGGCTGCGTGGCTGTGCAAATATTTATTCATTCAAAATTTTTTTTTGTCAAGCAAAGGGATGCTTCTCAAAGCTGCCGGATTTATCTGGTGAACTTTTTTGGGTTGGGCGCATTTGAACGCAGCAACAGCTGATTGATGCAGTCAGAGCCCCTGGGCTTGAAAGCGCATCAACGGCCAAATGGACGAATAAATAATTTGCTATGAGCCAAATGATCTGATGCCTAGCTGATCTGATCTGATGTTATGTGCACGTTAATGACTTAATATAGCATTCGGCTTAATAACTCATTGTCAGTCCCAAATAAAAGTTTCCTTTCGAGAGTTCGACTCAAACTTGCCGCATAATACTTAGCAGCGGACTGGATCTGTGCTCAACGAGAGGCGGAGGGGGTTTTATATGGATGGAACTCTACTGGGGTGGACAAGTCCTTGGAGGAGGTTCACTTTAGGTCAGTTGGGTCGGTGATAATGATAATTTCTCGTCAGATAGTCAAGCTTCAGGTAATTTAAGGTTAAATTTTACCCGTAGCCGAGGGTGCCGGCTTCTTCAGCACCAGAGACTGAGCTGGTGCCATAGTTAGAGCGGGTCACGACGGTTCGTGTAATACGCTTCGTAATATCGGCGCTTTCGCCTGCAGTAGTGCCTTCCATTGTGTGTCTGTCTGCTCGAGCCTTACAAGTGAGCTGAAAGCAAATTTTGATTGATTTCCTGGAATTTGCTTGAAATGGCCGATAGCAGATGCGCGTTATTTCACGTGAATGTTATCATTTCGAATGATCTGCTGCTTCCGACAGTCACGATCGGATAAATCAACGCGTATCATCGTAATCACAGCAATGAATTTTTGTCTTAGATCCTAACAAATGCTTTACATATTCGTGATCAGCTCGACGAGATCTACAACATGATATATATTTCATCTCGAAACGTGGGGGTAAGTTCGTGACCTTCCCTTGTAAGAAACCTCCCTGGTTCTATGTGATGTGACCAACTTTAGGACTGAAGCATTTGCTTTCCTTCTAAGATCTTGTCTTATATCCTCCAAAATCTGCAGCTTTTTCATAGTTTCTAAAATTTTCAAATGATTCCTAACAACCCAATGAATCGCTTCAATTCAAAATGAGCTAGCTTGCAAATGAAACTTATGATGCTGGTGGAAAGCGAGACAGACAAGAGGCAATGACCTTTGTTGTCACACCAACCAAACAAATTAATTAAAATGTTTCAATGTTTTGATAACTTTTTTGTGATCAAATCAAGAGGCGCCTCTTAACTGCTATCGAATAACACCCATATTTCATCTAGCCAAATGACTGTTGAAGTTGTAATGAAACGAACTGTGACGGTTTGAATAGTTCCAAGAAAAAAATTCAAGAAACGCGATTTCAAGAAAACAACAAGCGATTGCTGTTTTCTATATTTTTCTGTTAAAGAATGTTGTGCCATCTCAAAAAAATCTTCACATTTTCATTTCATTTCCACAGCTTTTTTCCACATAAAAATTCTCGATTTCTCGATATTTTCAAGCAAACGCAAGTACTCTCGACTGCATCACACTTTGTTTTAGTGTTATGCTATTAATTAATGAGTAATTGATGTTTTGAACGAACGGCACTAGCACCATGACTAATGACTTTGATATCAGTTGAAAATGAAGATAAATCGTCCATTTTACACTAAGAATAGACAAGTGGGAGTGGGTGATAGATGTGTTTTTTTAAGCAGATGTTGTTGATGTTAGTTAGGCTGACTCGTTGCCGAGAGTGCAAGCAATCAAAACAAACTAGTAAAACTACCATTAATTAATTGAACACTCACGATCAGGGTGCAGGAAGGAGCTGGGTAAACTGGATACGGGATTCTTTCGGCATTTTCCCGGTCTAAGGGTAGGGAAGAAACAAAATAAGCAAGAGAGTGCTTGGGGAACGAGTCTTAAATCGCCTTATCAGAATCAGATTAAGTTTCTGCATTAGAAACCTGATGAATGCTCTCAGGAAAAGATTTCCTTTCCCGTCAGTCATTGATATATTATGTTATTCTGCAATTTGTTCCGAAAATTTTTGAGAACTCATCAAATTTTACTACGGTAGATACTGCTTTCTCTATCAGTTAGTATTCATTGGTGCTGCCTGCTCTTTCTCGGTAAACCTATTCTCTTAGTGCTTCGATAAGTCTTTTGCAAAATCTTTTTTTGGGAGGATTGGAAGGAGACCTTCTCAAATAGGGATTAAAAGTTCACCAGCAAAATCAAAGTCTCTATTGAATGAATCGGATCAATTCGATCAAGACAAACTCCTTTGAATCTACAAACTACTCTGCTTATTGTGATTGCTTTGCCACTAGTTCTGCATATACAAATGAACATTCGAATATCACCCCCTGATTTTGGTTGTATTTGTTTGATGAAATTGAAATGCAGCAAGCAGCATCATCATCATCGTCTATTCAACTTTATTTGATGAATTTATTTGATTTGCTGGCTATTTTTGGTGCTGTGGATGCTAAATAATACGGGCGATCATTCCAAAAACCTTTCCATTCTCGACAGAAATAATAATAATAATAGTGATAATAATAATAATATTAATAATAATAATATTAATAATAATAATAATAATAATAATAAGTAGTGAAATGCATCAGTGTAATGTATTTATAACTAAATGAATAACGAACGAGAGAGAAGCGCTCGAAAAGAGTGCTGCAGCAGCAGCAACAGCAACAATAGCAGCCATATTTTTCGAATGGTTTTCATTTTCCATCATTCCGTTTGTGATTTCATTGTAATATTGTGCGTTCGAACGCAAATACTTTTACAAAAGCACTACAATACACAATAGGGTGAATGCAAAACCACGGAATTCGATAGCGCAGACGTGGAGTTGACTGAAAAGAGCATGAGAACAACTGAGGCCGAAGACGAACAAGCACAGAAAAGAGTACGAGAAAACAATATAGGACAACGATAGCTAGAGATAGAATCTACGAGAGTTCTAGTAAAGTAAAATTAAGAGCTGAAAAAATCACTAATATTGTGTGTTGTATTGTGC